GAAGCCTTGCTGATGAGGTGTTGCATTGTCTAGGACAGATTTGTGATTGCCCTCCCATTACTGCTTTGAGATCACAAGAAGAAGGGAAAAAGCAAATACATCCTAGTTGGACTAAATTTTCGTTTGAGTCCAATATCATCTATGATAGCTTATTCGTCAGCCTTAATAGATGACAGGAACAATACAAGTATTAGATCTTTGTTAGCAGAGTCTTTTCCTCAAATGCTAGGGCAGCTTTGTTCTTTGTTGGGATGATTTTTGGTGTGAAATAGAGAGGTAGTACAAGTCCTTGTATTCGGCTGCCTAGTGTAAGCGTAAATTTCTATGACGTGAAGAGCAGCGTGGCTAAATGTTTAGCCATCTTTGTTCACCTGTCTCACTGGTAAAGCACCCATTGCAAGAGCAGTTTAGGTTTGGCATGGTGGAATGTGCAAACTTTTTTTTTATTCTGCAGATAACTAAGGTAAGTATCAACTTAATTTCTGCTTCAAAATTCTCAAATAAATCCTTTATTAAGTATCTCCTAGATTCTTTTTCCACTGTAACTTATGTTTGTTTGAGTGATGTGACTTTTAAAGCAGAGGCAGTCACAAGTGATGTATCATTCTTCTCACCTCTGGGAATCTTTCCTGGCAAAAGTCCTGATTTACTTCCTGTGTGCCTTCAGATTAATAATTGAGTGCTTTCTCTAGAGTGGATTTTTCCCCCCAGGAAGACACTAGCTATATTGTTTTATTATTACTTGTCTCCTTATGTATTGATAAGATGTGATATGCCACTCTTCATTTACTGTAAAATATCAAAAGAGTAGATACGTTGTCCCTCAGTGCAAATCCAGAAACACCATCATCTGAAGCTTGCTTAGAAGTGGGCAAAAATTGCTATTCATATTGTGGAGGTATGTGCTAAATATTTGAAGAATGATAAAAATGCTACAGTCATCAAGCCATTACCCACTGTATTGGTCCAGCTTGTGGCATTGAATGCTTCTGCTGCAGAAACTCTAGAAGCCTGAGGTAACTGCACTTGACAGCATGGGCAAGTAATTTGCTTAGAGTTTATAAATGCGAAAGCATCTATCTGGCATTCTTGGCCACGCAGAGTTGATGATAACCATGGTGTTATGGGCAGTGCAAAGGTCTGAGAGGAGTTCTTGGTAGCTTTCTCAGCAAAGCTGCTGCTGATACAGGAGTTGATGCTTGGTTACTAGCACTTGGCGTAGGAGAGCTGCAGCTCTGCACCAAGTCTGCTGTGCTTCTGCACTTACGTGTAGGGCAAAACCTTGGTATGGAAGTGAGCCAAGGCAGTTTAAAGTGACTGTTGTCATTGTGGACTGGTATAAGGCTGTGTCAAGTAAAAGCACATTCCTCTTCTGTCAGCTATAAATACTGAGCTCATCTTAGCTACCCAAGCAGAGGCAATTACTGCATTTCTTTTCTCTGTTCTTGCTTTGTTCTCTGCTGAATCCACACAACTACAGCTCTGAGCTGAGGGCTGTAAAGGGAGAGTTTCCCCCCTTAGCTGGCGTGTGACCCTTACTTCTGATACCATGGCAGCATGTGCTTCAGGGCATAAATGTGGGCTTTAGATTAAATGATGTCCTGACTGCTACAAGCAAGGAAGTGTTTTACTAAATTACAAGAGCAATCTTGTTATGACTGCAGTAAACTTGTAAAAGGGTACAAAAGCAGAGGATAAGTTATTAGTTAATACTCTAATTCCAGCATAGGTCTGCCAGTAGCTGGTTTAAGCTATTTACGGGGCCCATAAGGGACTTCAGATCAGTTGCTGTGATAAGGGGTTCTAGTTTTCTAGCCTTTTGAAGAATTCAGTTCCAGTAATCCTCCCTTTCTTCCCTCCCTGAAGGTCATCACATTCCAGTTTCCTAGATTAAAGGATGTTACCAGAATTGTTGCACAACTCCTATTTGAGAACAATTGGCAGGGTGGTGTCTGAGCAAGCCTTCTTTGAGTGGTCTTAAAATGAAGCTGCGTACTGCCAAGAAAGCCAGCTGCTGGAAGAGTCTTGCAGTCCTGGCAGTCTTTCTAGGCCTTCAGTTGAGCAGATGTGGACAGAGCTCAGAGCTTCAGAAAATACTTGGGCTGGGAAGGGATTTTGAAGTCCTGTTTGGATGCTTCAACATGGTTTGGGTAGGAGTGGGATTAGTGGTACTGGTTACCTGGTCACTGCTGTCTCCAAGCACTGCTCGCGTCAACTTTGTGGCCACAGACCCATGGCTAAAATTGTAGTAGCAATGAACAGCCTGCTACACCTTTGTGCATCAGTGAGGCTGAACCAGCACATCTTAACAGATCTTAGCACTGGGTGCATGCTTTTTGCCTACTATTGTAAATCCTACTTAAATAGCATGTGGCATCACTCTTCAAGTGCAGGATTTTACGTTGGATTAGGAGGCGAAATACACTGACATGCAGAGGAGAGGAGCTGAATGCAATGCATGGAGAAAGAAAAATACAGGATAAAGAACCTGTGCCAGGCTCTTGTTCAATACCTGGGTGCTTTGCTTACCTACAGCTACAGCTCTTTTTCAGGAAAAAAAAGACGTGTGGTAGGCAGTGAGAAAACACCACTAAATACACTTCCAGGTTCTCAGTAATACTGCTGTAGCCATGGTAGCAAGTTTTTATAGAAGTAATTATTTCATTAAACTGACAGGTGATTCTGGAGCAGAGTAAACACTGACAGGCTTTTGAGACCACAAACCTGAAGACTATAAGCATCTTCCACATCTATTGCTTGCTGTAATAGGTGCTTGTGTGTGGAGGGAACTGAAAGATTTGCACATGAAACATCTCAAAGCACTCCTCAATCTGTAAGGACAAATCTAGAATCAAACTCTTTTTATGGGAGAAATGTTTACGGAAGACTATGAAGCAGTTGCCAACTACAAATTAAGGTTGCTCTTTAATCTTTAGCCTGGAAGGCTCCAAGCAATTTGGAAAGTGGTGTGAGTATATAGAGGGGAAAACTATAAAGGTGCAGAAGTTTCTTCTCCTGCTTGATACGCTGTAAACTTCCTGCTGTGTGGTATGGGAGGATCTGCATCCCCGGTTGTGGGAGAGGGGCAGATCACAGCAGTGATACCCAGCAGTGTTCATTACCTTACCACTCCTGCAGCGGTGAAATTTCATGTTTATTTTGATGGGATTATAAATCACTGACCTGAAATGTTGTCAAAAGTTGTGCATTTTTGTGTAGGAACAAGTGGATGCAGTTTTCTCAGGAGGTACCATGGCACCTTTTTTTTCCCCCGATCGTAGATAGCTCTTTCCAGCTGTTCTTGGACATCTGTGTTTTTATTGATTGCCTGAATGTTAGAAATGCAAGAAGTGACATTTGGTCCACTATCTCTGGTCTCCTGGAGTAGGTTGAAGATTTTTGTTTGTGTTTTTTTTTTTTTCACCTCATTTTGCAGGCTGGTGTATTTAAATAACCAAGTAATTGGTTTGAAAACAGAGAGAAAAAGCTGGATCTCAGCTAGAGGATCTGATCTAATGTGAGCCAGATACAAAATAAGTTTCATAAGCACAAAATGCATTTGTGTTTTACTGAAATCTTGCTGTTTTGGGGGGAAGAGGAATTAAGATTCTGCAGAAACTCCGGGGGATAAAAGATTAAGAAATAAAGTTGTTAATGGAGGAGAAGAGATGTTTCAAATGGCAGCGAGTACAATTAAAAATACCAGTTCCTGCCCACTAATGACGGGCCAAGTTTTGCAAACTTAACAGGTTTCATTCTTTTTTTTCTTATGCTTCGCCTTTGATGGGATTTTGCCTTTGATTGCATGGTTGTGGGTGGAATGTCTGATACTCTTGGCTACAAAAACCATATAGGCTCTTAAAACTACATTTGTTCTGGCCTGGAGCATAGCTATGTGGGTGTGGATGTCTCTTTGAGGCCTGGCGTTCCTTTTGGGTAATCACCTTATGTTAGCTGCGACTTTAAAGGGAGACTATTAATATCTAGCAGCCAGCTTCACTATGTGGCATATATCAGCACCGGAAGATTTAGTGCTTCGCTATATGAATTACTCATTTAGTGAAGGCTGTGGCTGGATGATCAGTTATCCAAAAATATAGGCTGTGGACCAGAGACCAGCAAGTATAAATGTTACCTACCTGTCATAGTCTTACAGCAGACGTTTCTCTCCTAAATGCATTAGAATATTAGTTAATCAGAAATGCATTATTGCATTCATCTGCTTAGCTGAGAATTTGTGGATCTTTTAGAATTTGACTGATAAATAGGCTGTCCAACGCATATCTCGGTAGCTGGAGTATTTAAGTTATACCAGCAATCCGATGTTCTCTGTACTAATTTTGCCAAATGTCAAAAAAAAAAATAAATTGGCTGAACACATGATAAATTGACCGCTGCTGCTGCTTGTGCAAAGTGATCTGGATTATCAGAGGTAATCTGTTTAAATTAAACCCAGCTCACTTTCACTGAGAAAGGTTAGGGAGCAGCCACATGATCAGTTCAGCAAGCAGATCTAGGAGAAAAATGGTAAATTGCATCAATACAGGCAGGCAGGACAATGCGTAGTGAAGAGCCTCAGGTGATACATGTTCAGTAACTATTCAAAGAGTAAGCAAACTCTTCTTCAACATGCAGTTATCAGTGAATTTTGAGCCAATTTTGCAGCTTGCTTAAAAACAGGCTTCTATATCATTTTGTCAGATTTGTATCTCTTGATACAATTCTCATGCAGAAAAACTAGGGAAGTTTTGGATTTGACAATTATGCTTGTCCTTTATGCATGTGTCAGTCCATTCAGCTACAGCCTTATCTGAAAATGAGTAATTAATCTTGATTGCATGAGAGAAATACAGATTAGAATTCAGTTTGTTCTAATTTTAAAACTTCCATAAGCACAAATGATACATTCATGGTCTGTACCTTAGCTAGAGGTCTTGTGCTGCAATTACACATGATTTAGGACTGTTGTGTTCATGGTCTTATCTTAATTTCTTTTCTAGGGAAAGAGTGTGTGCAGCAGCTAGCAGAGAACACAAGGTATTTCAGGAGACGACTGAAAGAGATGGGCTTTATCATCTATGGAAATGAAGACTCCCCTGTTGTGCCTCTGATGCTGTACATGCCAGCAAAAATTGGGTAGGTTTAATGGGGTAACTTCTCATCCATCTACTTTAAAGCTAGGATGCTAAAAGAATATTAAGACTTCTGTAAATGTAAGGAAAGAATGTTCTGTTTTTTACTTCTTGTGACCATTACTAAGTTTTGTAAAACATAGAAACTTCCTATAAGTGATCTGGAGAAAACTGGGGCTTGTAGCTTGGGGCTGCAGAAGAGCACTTCAGAGAAGCAATTTGTAAAGCGTGACATGCAGTAGTAAAGCTTTGATTTTATTTATATATAGAGTGCATATATTCACTAAAGAGAAACTGAAATTGATTGGAAACTCATATAAGAATGTTACTGGAAAAACTTTTCGACAGTTCATGGGTCAGGAGCAGTGAACATTTCCATAGCTGAACTTTGGAAAATTAAAAAATAACAACAATGATAATAAAATAAAAACACGCTACTACTGTAGTGATTTAATAGCTCAGGCATAATTATTGTAAGTACTAATAGAATGCTAATACATGTTTTTTTTAGAAATGCTTGTGGACTGCTGTGTGGATACTTAAGTCTGAAATTCTGCAAACAGGATATAACTTGTATATTAAAATATTTTGCAATGTAAACATCCTGATTTCATTGACAACTTGGCTTTGACAGCTGCTTTTTAGTGTCCATGCATAATGCAGAGTTCAACCAACACTTTCAGATTTGGAAAGCATAGCTTCATTTTAAGCAGTACAGAACACCTTTAGTGCTCTTCTAGCTCAGCTAGTCTTTGGTCTGGCTAAGCTGTATTCCGTGAGGGAACAAACATGTAGCTGTCTTCATGAAGCTAGATATGGTAGTCTTCCACCCTCCTCAGTGCAAGCAAATTTAAAAGGCCCATAAAATCTTTATGGGTGCTGTGGAGCCTGCGATATGTGCTGTCCAGCACACAGTGCATACTGTGTCTACCTTCCAGCTGTTCTACTAATCAGTGCAATCTTTTCCCTGGAAATGTTCATGGAAATGTTTGCTAGCTGAGCATTTGGGCCAGTAGCTTAGTTAAAAATAGGCAAGAGCACAGAGAGAATTGGCCATTGGTGTCTACATTGGGTCTACCTCATCCTTTCTTTCTCTCTTGAAGTCTGTTTCAAGTTTGAGAGTACTAACTGGATCCAAAATGAAGTATATTAGGATATACTTATTTATAAAATGTTGCAGCAGAAGGCAGAAAACATTTAAAAAAAAAAAAAAAGTAAAAGGGTGTTATTGTTGTAGGTGCTCATCAATCTTAGTTCATTGCTACTTCTAAAGACAAGAAGGTCAGTTTAAAAGGGCTGAACCATTTATTGTGGCCTCTAGAAACACCCATGATTGCACTGCCATTATGGAAAGAATCTAGTCATTCCTCTCATTGCATACATGAAGATATTCTGTGACTGTTGAGTGAGATTTTTGCACTTTCCTCAGAAAAGTTTGGTATTACATTAGATAATCTTAATTTATTGTGGTGATTTAATGTTCCCATGATAAGCACTTAAGAAGTCATACATTCTGTGACTCCATAACGTACCTGAATTTCATTTAATTGGTAGAAACAAACCATTTAGAAATTGCAGTATCATCTGCGCCAGGGGTCAATTCCTTGTGTAGTCCAACTTCTGAGCCCACATCTCAGTTTCCTATCAGAAATATTCTCAAGTGTGGGTTACAAATCCATTTGGAAACAGCCTGGCAAAAGACCAGCCCCCGCCACATACGGTCATCCTTGGTTTACCATCTTGGGATTGAAGTAGAGGGCCTTGTGATGAGACATTCTACCTCCACAAGAAAGCACTGGAAGATCAGTTTCAGTGTAACTGGCTTGTTTAATAAAGGCCAATATGAGTTAACATGCTGAGACCTTTATGCTGATGTTCTGCCTCACCTGGTATCATTCTGACAATTTTCCTTGTTCTTTCTGGTAGTGCATTTGGGCGTGAGATGCTAAAGAGGAACATTGGTGTTGTGGTTGTGGGCTTCCCTGCAACACCAATCATCGAGTCCAGAGCCAGATTCTGTTTGTCTGCAGCTCATACCAAAGAGATGCTTGATACGGTAAGTGTCTCATCTTGTCTCCCTCTTGCTTATGCCTTCTATAAACAGAGATAACAGTTCTGTTTTTTTGTGGTTGTTTTTTTTTTTTTTTTGTAGACTGGTTTGATGTTTGGTATGCAAATGAGTAGAACCTAATGTTCAAAGCCTTGTGTAGTAGAGCTGGCAATGACACCATCTCATTCCTTTCCCCAACAAAGCGGAATGGCTGCCTTCAGTAAATTTCAGAAACTTCTTCCCATTTCAGATATGCAAGAGGGACAGTCTTGTTCCCTTGAGACACTGCTTTTTCCCTTCTCTAGAGGCTTTGCCTTCAGTTCTTGAGCTTGTGAAATGGAATCTTTTAAAAGGGAGAAAAACTGCTGCTTCTGATACTAGACACAAGTTGATTTAAAAAAAAAAAGGCCTAAGATCCCACAAAACATCCGTATTCTTTTCAAGAGCAACTGCAAACCCCTTCATGTGGCCTACCAGTGAGCACATTTATTCCAAACATTACTATTCCAGCTCTTGTTTATGGCTTCAGAGCACTGTATCATAAATGATCCCCTCCTGAATGAGGCTGTGCCATGTGCAATGCCTTGCTGGCTCCTGCCCACACTAGGCATGTTCCAGCAGGAGCAGCAACCCTCTTAAAGGAGGTCTGTATCTCAGTTAGGAGATGCTACTTTAAAAATTAAGCATGGCAGTTACTCTCTGACTAATATAATCGACAGGGGATTTATCAGGAAACCTGACTATCCTTTATACATTTTGAATATGGTAACTACATTCATTTTTGAGTCTTCTGAATAAGACAGACATATACATAGTCTGTCCTAGGCTCAGTCAAAGTTCTCCATTGTGATTTTTCCAGTTCTGCTGTTCTCTGACTCAGAGCCTAAGTTACTGTGAGTCACAACCTTGAATTTAAAGAGGGTAGACTTTGCCCTTTACAGAGGCTGCATGAAATAATCACATAGGATACAGTCCTGAAAAGAGGAAGGGGTTGACTCTCCCCTCTTCCCCCCCCCCCCCCCCACTCCTTTCTTTTCAGAACCTGAAAGGAATACAGAGACGTTGTCCTGAGCATGCAAAGATGAGGTCAGGAAAGCAAAAGCCCACTTGGAGATGAATGTGTTGAAGTACATGAAATACAGCAAGAAGGGTTTTTTTTAGGGATATTTGTAGCAAAAGGAAGACTAAGGGAAACATGGGGCTGCTGCTGAATGGCATAGGAATCTAGTGACAAAATATATGGAAAAAGTCAAGTTACGTGCTACCTTTTATTGTTAGTCCTTACTGGTAAGGCTTGCATTGAAGAATATAAAGGCCCATGAAGTCAGTGAGAAATCTTTGCAAGTATTTTAAAATATGTTATGGACAAGAAGGTGGCTGGGAATAGTCATCATGGAATTATAAAGGGGAAATCGTGCCCAGTGTCCAAGTATGATCAGGCAGTAACATTTCATAGCATGAACAGTGAGTAGGAGTTGTAATATAAACAGACATTTGCCAACAAGTCAAAAAAAGGTTTCAAACTTCCCATCCTTCGCTGCCACAGAACTTCTTGCTGTCAGTTAGCCTTTGTCTTCTCTGTTAGCTACGAGCTGGAGTCTTAACCTTACCAAGCTGTTTTCACAGAATATTTACAAGTACTATACTTGTTCTTTTCCAAAAACAATCTGCAACTTTTATTAGCCTGCTGAGGAAAAGAGTTTTTTGGTTTTAATCAACCTACTTACAAGTCTTTCAACTTTCCAGAAAATATTTCAAGTTTTGTGCATTTAACTCTAAAGATTCATTTCTGGAGTACCCGTGTAGGTGCTAAATGCAGTAAACCAAAAGAAATACTTGTTTAATATATTAGGGCTTGTCTGCCTAAGAAAATTAATCAAGGACAAAATGAGGTGTGAATTTTGAAGTGAATGAAGAAATCTTGATTTAATTCAGCATGTGAGGGCTTTGTTCCAAGTTGGCATAAACCATTTAAAAGTTCAAAACAACTGAATGCTCAGAACACTGGCAAGGGGAGTTAATAAGGAGCAAGTCTTTGTGTCAGTGACTTTGTGTTGTGTTTGTCTTGTGTTGTAGTGAAAGGGAGTTGATTTTAGGCAGCTAGTAATTAAGACAGCATCAGGCATCAGATCTGATCCCTCTGCTGAACTATGGCAACAATACCCAAGAGGAAAAAAATGAAATGAGTACAAGAGCTGGCAAAGAGCTTGTATGAGTCCGAGACAGGAGAACTGGGTAGCCCATCCACGTGTGTATGGATGCTAACTACTGCTGTTATCACGGCATTTCTTCTAAACAAAATTAATCCGGGTTTGGACTATGGGGAAGAGAAGCTTGTCTTGTAAATGCTGATATTTGTAATGCTTCCTTGTTCTTATTAAATAAACCCACATGATGGGGAACAGTTCTCAGTTACAATTTTAACCGTTTTATGTAAATAAAACTTCCTTGCCTGAAAATATTTGGCTCAGGATCAGAGTGAAGTCCCTCATAACCTGCATCCCTGTGGGCTGGTGCTTTCTTTTCAGTGATGAAAAATATATTACACTCTCCTGAAGTCAGAGTTCACCAATGCCATTTCCTTTGTACTCTTTGCTAGTCACATGGACCTTTTTGTTTTAAATTAATAAAATCCTAAATCTGCGTTCAAGAATAACAGTTAACAGACTCTTTCAACAGAAATTCAACCTTAAATTGTTTCCATATGGGGTCTTTACTTTAAGCTCTGGCAAACTGTGCCCATGCTCTTGGTGTTTTGTTGTGCTTTTTTTTTTTTTTTAAACTGAGGTCCAACTTCTGGGCTTGCCATTCCTCCAGATTTTAGAGTGGAGAAGTTCTTGCTGCCAGATATAACAAGCATGAGGGGCCATTGTTTAAAGAAACAAAAACTTGGACTGTTCATCCAGGAAGGAAAAGCATGTAGGGATATTAACCCCGGTCTGCCAACTATTCTCAGGAGACAGGCATCTGACCCAAAACATGGTAAAATCAGAGCATTACTGTTGGATCGGTGGCATTCTAAAGGAATGTTGAATGTACTGGTCTGAACACATTATTTTAAATTCAAGGGAATGCAGAATGCCAACATCTGAGTTCAGAAATCGCACTGAAAGTCATCCTCTGCACACATCTTTGTCACTTGCCAGGTGTAAGATAATTAGCATCACATACTGTTAGAAATTCTTCTGCAGCAACGGACTTATTTTTGGACATTGTTCCAGGAATGATCTGTAGAGAAATAAATCGAAGCTTAGAGTTTGACTTGTAACAAATCCTGTTGTGAGACTGTCTTCCCAAAGAGATTGCACGATTAAATGAGTATTGACTTTCCTTATTATGCTTGCAGATGCTTGATCTCTGGTAAACTTCCCGTGATTTCCATGCGTATCATAGTGAAAGGTTTTGTTAGCTCACTTGCAGTGTTCTGGGCCATCAGTTGCTGAGGTGGTGTCTTTGTGGCAACAGTCAGGGAGGGTTGCTCTCCAGGGAATTAAAAACAATAAAAAATGCTTGGGGTCCTACCCTGAATGACTTCTCCTTGGCAAAAAAAAATCTCCCATATAATACTATTTATTATATAGAGCTTGCATCTCTAGTTGCATATGAGCAACTTAAATTAGTCAAATGCAGATACAACAAATACATCAACAGAAACTCTTAGCATATCACAGGCTGCATTTCACTGCCTTATATTTTAAAAACGATAGTATTTCAGGAACAGTGTATTAGCATGCACAATGATTTCATATTGTATGATACAAGAATGAGAGTCAAACCTCCAAGTATGTTTTTGGCTGACAGTGAAATTTGGTGTAATATTGATGGTTTTTATGTTCTTGCCTTGGAGTTGGAGTAGTCAGGTAGCGCAGGGTCACTCTCAGTTGAACGACCAGTGCTGCTCACTTGGTCTAGAGGCTTCCAAATACAAAAATCAAAAACAAATCCTGCACACTTCCAAACCTGCAAATTTATAGCCTGGTGAAATCCTACTTTGCTGTCAGAGCGGTCTGTTGGCATGCAAAAAGGAAGATGTGCTGATGGCTTTCTTGCATCTGTTTCCTCTGCTGATATCCTGTGATCTCTTTCTCAGGCTTTAAAAGAAATCAATGAAGTTGGGGACCTTTTGCAACTGAAATATTCCCGTCACCGTTTGGTACCTCTCTTGGACCGGCCATTTGATGAGACTACATATGAAGAAACAGAAGACTGAACTCCCTCCATGTGCCTTGGTGGGAGGGACACACCCTGTGGGACACGGTGGCACGCAGCCCGCAGAGTCTGTGAACAACACACTTAAGACTGCTTAGCATAAAAGACATTTCCTCACAATACTGAAGTGGCCACATCAGCTCTAAATGGCATTTTGTAAATAGGGAGAGGAGAAAAAAAAAAAAGCTTTGATTCCTGTGTCTTCAGGGTCTGGCCCTAGAGGTGCTTGGCTTTATTTTTTCATGTTGCTTTTTTTTATTTATTTGTCTCAATAAGTTCACAGCAACCCGAGTTGGCTGTGGCTGATCAGCTCAGACTTTGTATGCACCATTAGCCTCCCGAATGCTGGCTGAGATGTTGTGAGCATGTGTGATGCTGGCATGGCAGCATTTCCAGTGTCACTGCTAGATGTCTGACCTTCCCAGTAAGGAGTGAGCCAACCTGTCCGTTCATTGGAAACTGCCTAGAGAAACTGTTGATTGCTAACTTTGGCGTATTTGACAAGACGGATAATCAACCAAAGCTTCTTCCTTTTGCAGTTACTTGTGTTTAAAACTTGAATTTAGCTTTTTTAAAATAAATGTGTTGCTGACATGTCACTGACAGGACCATTGTTCCAAACATTATTTAGTTCTGTAAGCCACAGGCAGAGAGACTTCGGGGACTCTAGCCTCTTTTCCTTCCCAGTATGGATATCAGATTTTGACAGTAATTGTCCTCTTGATATAGGGTAAGTGATGAAGAGATTTTTGTGTTAGTTATTTTTAAATTGGGATGATCTGTCTTCCTTCTGACATACTACTTTTTTTAAAAAAATGTTTTTTTGTGTGTGTGTGTGTATTGCTTTCTCATCTTCAGATTATTTTTGCTTTTGCTTTAGAACTATTATAAAACCACGAACAAGTATATCTGGTAGCTGATAGGTTCTAGAAGGGTGCTTTTGGACTTCAGCAAACCATAGCAAGCCTCGTGCTTCCTTTTAAGACCAGAACCTCTGAATAAGCAGGCCTGTACAATGGATGGCTATTAGGGAACCACTTATTTCACGCAGATCTGTGAAAGAATGATCACTGCCCTTTGCCACACTGATCTTTTCTTGTCACGTATGAGATGTTCTTCTTTGGCCTTGTTGTCCAAGGCTCTTATGCAAAGAGTATAGACAGATTGTGTCTTGTATCATATGTTATGTTTCAATTAGCCAACAAAGTCTCATAACTGGCAGCTGTGAAGTCTATATAGGCTTCCCCAAAGAGAAACTGTCCTCACAACTGCAGTTGGGTTGAGGTCTTCATGTTTTTCCATTTCTATTACTGTGAGATCAAATTAATGTTCACTGAGCCAGTTACTGTTTGGTATCTTTATTTTTCAAGTTCCACGCTGTCTTACTCCCATCAAAGTTTAAAATAGACACCTTTCCTTTAGTGCACCTTAGAGGTGGTCTGCTTCACAGTCATAGCATCTTGAATTCTCTCAGTGAACAGAACACATCATTGAAGAGATACCAAAAATATTACAACAGGAGTCAGTTGCAGTATAGTTCTTGGTGTGTTTTTGTTTCCCTGGACTTGTAGGTTATTTGCAAAACTAGTAATGCTTTAATGTTGTGTCAGTTAGGTGTGGGCCAGCTCTTGAGTTGGGGTTAGCATGATGCCCTTTGCAGGTGGCAGTGGAGTTTCTCAAACAGATTCTTCATCTTAAAGCTAAAGCAGAATGCAGCTTAAAGCAATTTGGTGCTGCTATATATATATACATACATATATATTTACTTATAATATATGTTTATAAATTATAAATAAATATATAAGTTTTTTTATGTTCACTCTTTGGCTAATGGGGAAGGAGCTGTTCGGTCACTGCCACCAAGCAGTTCTGAGAATACATCTAGTGAGTTAAAGCAGCATTGGTTTCTATTTTATATAATATCTATCTTCACATCTTTATAGATCTTACTACGTTTTAATGTAACGGCACTACAAAACACTGCTTCAGTTTTTTACCATTGCATTTCAGAAGTTTAATTACTTAAGAAGAACTAAAACTGACTGTTTTCAAACTAGGTCTGGGTAAGTGTTTGTCTTAGTCCCCGAACGTTGATTTGCTCGCCTTCTGGAGCACAGTGTGCACACAGTCCAAGAAGTTTGTAACCTGCATGTGCAGCCTTGATGGCTATGGAGTAATCTCATTTGTTCAGCCACAGAGTGAGTAAACTGCACTTACATAAGCTCGCTTTATCAGTTCGACCTTTCTCACCTACATTCTGCCCAGGACCAGCTCTAACATTCCAGCAGGTGACCTGCTTTCTGATTTCAAGAAGTTTTACCTCAAAGAACTATTCTTTTTTTCTTTCTTGATTGTAGCAGGGAACAAGAGGAAGTTGGTTGACTCGATCATGAAACAGTTTAAGAGCTGATAAAACCAACCAACTCATAGGCATGGGTCAGCGGAGAGCTATTTTGAGCCTTCCCAGGTGTACAGCGTGCTGGTACCACTGCATAGTCAGTCAGTTTGAAACTTGTAATATATTAAGTCAGAGATGGGTTATCACAGATTCTACAAGTCTCTAGTCTTAGTCTTGTCTCTGGGATTCAGTTTTAGGGCAGCTTATTTTTAGAAGGGAGGAAAAAAGGCTGGATAAATATCGATAACTCAGATAACTCCTGTATAACGCTTCTGGAACTGTGTTCTAAAATTATCCATCTCCGTACTGGGATTCCATTTGTATTTGTTTAAAGGAGATTGTGCTCATGCTAAACTTCGGCCCTTCAGTATCTTATTGCTGTGTTATGCTGTCTGCGTGACTTTGAATTCTGGGTTGCAAAGACATTTCAGAAATCGTTCAGGCAGTTAGTAGCATTTGCAAACTGCTTGGTTACATTTCAGCACTCCTGTATCCTTTCTGATAAGCAACATTTCCCCACACACACCCAAGGAGGTCTCTTATTTGGGGGAACCTGTTCTGCCATAGTCTGGTACCTGTTGAAACTACTTCTGAAAATTAAGCAGTCTAACATTTAGCACTTTCATGTTCAGTGAATTGTTAACTTAAAAGCCAGGAAAATCTTTTCACACCTACTGAAAAACTCCGCTCCCACAACCTAAGAAGCAAACCACTACTGGTTTGGTGCTAGGCGAGCCTACAGCACATATGCTGTCACGGTTAGTTATGTGTAGGGTGGATTGCTGATTTGATATTATGTACCGACCCGAAATCTGTCTCCCTTTTGTCCTGGCAGTAGAAGTGAATGAAAGAATCAATCTTGAGACATCACAAAGGAAGAAAAGCTGCTTAAGAAATAGACTTCAGTCCCTGCCAACTTCTCTGAGACATTGTAATTGAAAATGACTCCTGGTATTTCTTAAGAGATGCAAAATTCAAAAGAAAATGAAGGCTGCTTTTGAACAAAGGATTTTGCTCTGTACTGTACATTGGCTAAACTTGCCTGTAAATATACAATAGTTATCTTCCCAGTACCGCTCTGAAGACCTTAGCAAGCAAGATTTTGCCTCTGCTGAGCTGAGTGAAGAGTTCAGAACCATTATAGTTTTCAAGGCTGATGGCCATATTCTTTTAAGAAAGTAGAGAATCTCCTATTACCCAGCGAATGGTAAGGGATCTGCTTCTTGTTAGAATCTGGCCTTCCCAAGTAGGAGACCTTTGTCTTAAGGAGCCTGATTCATAATTTCTCTTTAGTTCTTTGGAAGAGAGGAAAACCATTTTTTTTTATTGTTTGTTGTTTGTTTGTTTCATTTGTTTGTTTGTTTTGTAATGAAGTGTTTGGTTTTGTTTCTACAGAAAACACAAACTCTTGTATAGTATCTGTGTATATGGTGTATTTAATTCTGTTCAGTTTCTATTTTTTTTTCCTTCTAAGTAGCGTCCTTAGAGAGCTGTTCTGGTTCTTGGATTATTGGTGTAGCATGCTTCTGCTTTAGGCTCAGGAGTGAACCAACCAAACATCTTACCGTGGTGAAGTCATTCAGGGAAGGAATCGCGTCATCCATCCTCTCTTGATGTTTCCTCTGAGAGTGCAGAAGTGGTGCCCAGCATCAGAGCTGCACCTTTGCACAGAGCAGGAAAGGGGAGTGTTCCAGCGAAATCAGTGATCCGGCCCTGTGCTGTGTGGATGAAGGAAATCTGACTTCCTGATACAGCAGAGATGGAGGAATGGGGCAGTCAGTCACCAGTTACTCTCAGCTGTACAGGGATCTTCCATGTGTACTGGAACAAGGATCCTTAAGATAGGAATGCAACTTTCAGTGGCCAAAGGGACACTTCTCTAAAACTTCATCACTCCAAGTAAACAAGTGTTTCCTTTCCTTCTGTGCAAATCTCCATTTCTGTACCTCTGAAAAATATTCAGCTTATGGCAGTTCTATCTATTATCTATTCAGACAGACGATAGGAAAGGTTGGAGGAGAGCCGTGAGCATGAGATGTCCATTTCATCTGAGAGATTTCATCTAAGAGTCATCTAAGAGAAATCTAGCACCACTGTAGCTGGAGTGCTATGCATAAGCTCCCTCAGCTCATCACGGAATGAAACTTGTGGAGATTTACCCCAGTGTAAAATGCTCAGTCTGAAACCCCGCACGTTGTGCTCGCTCTGTGAAAGAGCCAAGCGTGCTGGGATCTGTGTGGGTTGCACCTTCTGTACGGAGAGCCGAGGTGCCTGCGGTCTGTTCTAACACTAGTGAAGCACAGAACCATCTGTGAATGCCTGGTATTGACCCCTCACCAGGGGAATTGTTGGCTTCAGCTCTGGAGCTGGCACCCAAGTGGTATCAGACCATTTGGGAAAAACACCGGTCGTGTGACCTGTGTAACTTGAACGTGGTTTCAAAAAGAAAACAAAAAACAACTCGGATGTCATTGTGATGGCTTGTATTCCTGTAAACATTCCCAGTCTTGCAAGTTGTTTACCTGTGAAAGATTTGGATGTGAATTGAAAGCACAGACACGGTGTTTGTGTGACGAGGTACTGTGCATTAGCTTTGAAGAGAAGTGTTTAGTGCAGGCATTGGAGCTGTTGTGTTTACGTCCCCGCAAGGGGCTGGGTGAAGGAGATGAGTGTGGTGTGTGTCGAAGGCCTTAAACTGTGACTCTTGGTATGAAGAATTGAAATTAAAACTGACCTTGAAGCATGCAGTGGATTTTAGCCCACGGAAGAATACCCTGTGCTGGCAGTTAAGCAATACGTACTGCTGCTCGGCTCTGTTTGCGTTTGAGCCTGGCGAGCAGCTGTTTGAGGAGCAGGAGAGGTGCCTGTATGTGAAGGCCAGAAATAGTGCAGCTCTGCACTGATGTTCCTATGTAGCAAACGTTGGTAACTGGTCCCTGGGCTGCTGAAAGCAGAATTACTGAGAGGGTCAGGGACTTCAAAAGCAGTGGCAGCTAGCAAGTTAATTTTCTCAACATTAGGTGAACAGGTCTCACTTGAATACGCCAGGGGTTGGTGCAGTTCCAAAAATACCCTTGGCTAAGTGAAACGTGCACCAAAGCATCTGGACATTGTAAAGCATTAACTTTTTTTTGCCAAATCTCATGCTGTCCAGACAGTATTTCTGCTACCCCCTAACGGTATATTAAGCTAAATGCATCTCCAGCCTTCCGATAGTGACTTCAGGACAGTTTGAGAGAGATGAGAGTAACGTTGGAGCCTGAGGCTTTAGGTTAGCAGTCCCAAAGCCAATGGTGGCCCACATTTCCACAAGCCCTGGGCAGAATTACCAAGTCACAGCACTTAGTCTTGAATTGCACTGTATTCCTATGCCTCTGTGTTGCTATAATGTACATAATATATTGGATTTTTTTGTAGATAAGACATTTTAGATAAAATTTTTAAATGGGCTCCCCCCAAAATATTTTATGCCAGATGTCTAATTTTTTTTACACTGGGGATTAACATGAAGTCGGATGCTCTATGGGCAGGGAAAAGATAAACAGATGGTACATTGGCTTTAAAAAGGTAACAATGCATGTAAAGAAAAAAACACTGGAGAAAAAAAAAACTGCTTGGGAAAAAAAATCCATTCAAATATATTCTATGTTCTGCATAATAAAGAATTTAAAAATAAAAGTTCTGTTGTGATTTTTCTTAAAGCTGCACCACTGGGGCTGAGCAGAGCTATAGCCTGTGTGAGAGCTCAGATCCGTGTCCCCCTCTGTCCTAGGACTCTGAAGTGAGGAACTTCTGCTTGTGAGATGCGTGTCTGGCTGTTTCTCATCCATCTCCAGTGCAGCACGGGCTGGGTGGCTGCTGCAGAGAGGTGGGTGTGCAGAGGGGACCGCTCCGGGTGTGCAGCACCCAGGGGAGCTCCGTGAGCCGCCTGCTGCCCTTGGGTGCTGGTGGAGGGGCTTCCCTCCGGCAGGGCAGTGCGTACAGTGGCTGTCAGACTTATCAGCTGTCATGCTGCTAACAAAATGTTTGAAAGGGCTCCTTGATCCATCTCGCATGGGACGCTTGACCTCACATCTGTCTTGCAGTCTGGGGCTTGTTTGAAACACTTCCTTCCATTTGTCCCGGCCCCAAGTTTGCACGCAGCAGATGTCAGCGCTGGGGAGGGAAGGGAAGGGAAGGAGTTTGGGGTCCTGCTTTGGGCTGGGGGTGCGGGCAGGGCCCCGGGGGCTGTGAGGGGGTTTGTTCGTCTCCTTTCCCCAAGGGGCTTGCTCCCCGGAGGGCTGCTGCCCCCCTGCCCCCCAGAAAGCAGCCCCGCACCCTTCCTGGGGGCCGGGCCCGGCGCCTGGAGCCCCCCTTTGGCGAGCCCCGGGGCCGTGCCCGGGGGAGGCTGCGGGAGGCCCGGGCCTGCCCCGGCCGCTCCCCGGCCCCCAGGGGTCCCCCCCCGGTGCTGGGGGGGAGCGGAACAAAGAGCCCCGGGCCCGGCCCGGCGGCGGAACGGGGGAGCAGCGAGTCCGGTGGGGGAGGAGGGAAGGCGATGAGGCTGCCGCCGGGATTAGCACGGGGGGTGGGGAGGCGAAGCCCTCTCCTCCCCCGGCCCCCCCGCCCGCACACGGGGCGCTGCAGCCAGCCCGCAGCATCGGCGGCACCGCCAGGCGAGCCCCGAGCGTGCTCGGCCAGCGGCGGGAGGGAGCCCTGCGCTTTTTTGGGGGGGTTATTTCTCTGCCTTGTTTTTTTTTTTCCCCTTTCCCGAGAAGGGACGGCCCCGGCGGCGGCCGGCCGTGCCCGGCGGGGTGCGCGCCGAGCCCGAGCCCGAGCCGGGCGGGATGCCGCTGGTCAGGGGGAAAGTGGTGCTGCTCCTCGGCTTTGTCTTCCTGACAACCCTGCTGGCCGCCCTGAGGGGGCTGCCCGTCAGGAGGCAGCGCGGCAGCAGCCCGAGGGAGAGGAGCCCCAAGCTGGCCGAGGTGAGGGGGCGGCGGGGGTCGGGAGGGGGTCCCCCGGGGAGGGACCCTCACCTGGGTGGGGAGGGGAGCCCCGGGGTGTTTGGGGCGAGCCGCGCCGTCCTGGAGCCCTTCTCCAGGAAAGCTGGGCAGGCAGGGCTGGGCTCCAAATGCCCCCTGAGGAATGCTGCCGCTGGAGGGGCTGCCGGGGCACGGTGACACCGGCTGAGCCCCCGGGAGCGACTCCGGCAGCTCCCTCCGGGCGCACCGAGCTCCTCGCAGCACGGCAAGGAAGCAACAAGTGTGGGAACGCATCTGCTGCACGGGGAGCCCGAAGCAAACAGAGGGGCACGGGCTGTGTCCTGCCTGCTGCGGTCCCGGCTGCTGCGGGGAGCGGGAGATGCAGGCAGGACCCGCGGGGATGCTGCATGGCACAGCACTGCCAACGCCACGTCGGTGCTTCTTGGGAAACTCCAAGCAGAAGTGAGAACGCCACCAGGGAGATGCCAGGCTGGACGTGCTCGGGCTGTTGGGCTGCAGAGCAGGGGTGTATCCGTGAAATCTGCACAATGATCGCGGCCACGTTGCAGAAGGGGCCACGAGCGATGGGCAGGGACAGCCAGCACCTTACGGAGTGCTGTGGGTCCCTGCGGCAGGACCCTGAGGGCTGCCTCAGGCTGGTGTTTATCCGACATCTGCAGCCGCGTGGAAAGTGGGGAGAGCTGCTCTCAGCACCGGCGTGAAAATGGCTCTGAATGGGGAGCGTTGTGCGGCGGGCCAAAGATCACATCGGTGCGTACACAGCAGAGCCTCTGTCCCCGGGACCTGCGCTTCCTGCAGAAATACAAACATCAAACGAGTTTGTAGGCACGGGCTGCAGGGCGGTGGTTCAGACCAGGAACAAGAAGGATGAGGAGATGGAGGACTCCTCCCAGGGTCTGTCACTGCTCCCGTTCCTCCTTTCTGTGCACCCCTCCGGGCTCGGGCATCCAGCTGATGCAGTGGGCAGAAGGCAGCAGGCATCGTTGCATGCATTGGCCACGTTTTGGGAGGAAATCCTCTGTTTCTGGTGCATGTGGGGACGAATTTGGAGTAGCCCAGCGGACAGCATGAGCGCAGCAGTATGGTGGTTAGAAAAAAAAGCCGGAGTGATTTTGGGTCATATGCACAGATGGTTCATGTTGCAAAGCTGATAGGTCCTGTCTCTATGGCAGCAGGGCAACCACATCTGGAGTATTGGTTACGTTATGGGTAATGCCCTGCAGATGTGGGCAGAGGGAAGGGGGCCTGGGGAAGCAAAGAAGTGACGGTGCAGAGCAGATAGACGATCAAAACGATTATACAATTACCTAACATTCACTTACTCTAATTTAGCATCTTTCTTTAAAGCAAACATTTTTCCCCTGTTTAAACTTTAATGGGATTTTTTATAAGCTGTACTGAGCTTCGCAGTTGCCCTTCTGTACTAAAACAATTGAGAAAAATTAAAAACATTAAGGCTATCATCAACTTTTTGAGTTAGAAAGTTTTCTAATTGCAGGAAGGACTGAGGAAGCATGCTTTGTCTGTGGGTGATGGCCTTGTGGCTATGTCCCAAAGTCCTGTACTTCAGGTAAGGATCTGCCACTTCCAGCCTTTACAAAAGGACCAAGCACTTGCATTTCCTCTGCTGTGATACTGTGCAGAAAAGCTTTGCCCTAATTACCTGAGTCCAGCACAAGCAACAGATGTAGCAAAAGTATTTTTTATTTCTTCAGTCTCTTTGGCAGTTGAAAAGGCAGCTGAAAGTTGAATACTTTCTCCCCAAACTATGACTGAAAATCTAACGAGAGAAGACATCCATTAATTGTGGGGCTTCTTGACTGCGTTTCAGAAGGCTACAGGGGCTCCAAAGAAGCAGACAAGTGTACAGCAGGGCTTTCGGAAGTGCTTTTGCAGGCTAGATACATCCCTCTCTGACTTGGGCAGACGTGCAGCAGGTCCAGGCGGTGACACAGGCCAGCAGCTCTTCACAGCTGGATAACAGTGCTTGGAAAAGCTTGTGTCCCCTGTGTGACAAGGGACAGCTCTTCACATTGCTTAATGCTTTGTTTATTTATGAAGTCAGGGCGTTTAAATGCAAAATATGTTTTGATAAACTCCCTGGGTTTCAAAATACTGGCTTTCAGCATTGCTAATAGATGTTTGGCTTCTTTCTGGTGATACAAACCAGTTCTCGCGCTCTTCCAGTAAATACAAAATAAATGATGCTCTAGCACGATAGAAAGGCAAGCACTGGAAGGGATTAAAACTGCATTCAGATACACCCACTTAAATAGCTGTGCACAGAAATACCAGTAACAGTGACAGCAGGGCTGACGCTGGTAGCGAGCGTCCCAGCAGTAGCACCATGCCGCAGTGCCAAACCTGGCTCCAGTGGGCTCACCGGGGGCTGCCAGCTGCCCCCCATGCTGCGGGGGGCTGCAAGGTGGAAATCCAGGCCAGGGCTTGCCGTTGGGGTTCCCCTGGTCTGAGGCTGCAAGCCGGCTGCTCGAATAAGAGGTAAGGGACGGCAACAAAAGAAACGCCAGGCTTTGCATGAGGGCTGCGTTTGGCCGCAGCACCTGGCGAGGCTGGCGCCTGGCCCGTGAGAATTAAGGGAGGGAGAACAGAGCTTATTATTTACTGGTTGCATGGGCAGCGAGAGTGGCAAAGGGAAATAAAGTTTATAACCAAGTGCCGGGGATGCTGGGGGAGGCTGCAGGGGGCTGCTGGGCCGGGGAGCCCCTGGGCCGTGCGGTGCGGCTGGGTCAGTAGCAGAGGCTGGGTCAGTAGCAGAGTCGCTCTGCCTGCGGATGTGCTTTTTACCTTTTCATTTCTTCAGCAATTAAGCGTTCTTGTCCCTGGCTTTGTCCTTGGCGGAGGTCGGATTTGCGGGTACAAAACGTGCACTGAAGCATCCTTCCGCTCTGAAAGGGCCTCTTTGTGCGCGGGGAGGTACTTTACCCTTTGTAGCAAATTTCCTTTTGAGAAGTGCCAAATTATCTTAGTCAACACAGTTGAAAACCCTCCCGCCCTGGGGCTGAGTCAGGAGCGCAAACAATGGGGAGCGGGTGTAGGGAAGCTGCTCGACGAGGGGGCTCCTTCCCCTCTCACCGCACACATGGGTCTGCTGCGGTCCCATTGTGGGAATCAAAGGGGTTCCTGTAAAAGGCACATGTAAGGGAAGGGATTAGGCAGAAATCGCTCCACGGGGCATTGCCCGGCCCTCTGGCTTCCCAGCTGGAGCAGCCGTTCCCAGTCAGCCAGGCACCCCTTGGGAAGCGCTCCCCTTTATTTGCTCCCAGTCAGCAGCGGCCAAAAGCTCCCCAGCAGCTGAAACCGGCGCTGAGCACCAGCCAGGATAGGGGAAGGGTATCGGGCTCTTGCAGACCTTCTTAAAGACAGATCAGGTGGAAGATTGTGCCTCAGCCACGGTCCCTTCAAGCCCAGCTGCAAACAGAAGCGAGGCAGTGTGGTGCGTGCACCAGGGAGGTACAGCTGCTGTGCTTGTGGCAGTGTCTTGGGGCAGGGAGTGGGAAATGGAGCCTTCTGCTTCCCATGGCATCGAGAAATATTCTTCCACTGAGGATAATTCCCAGGTCAGACACCCGGACGCTTCCCATAGGGAAATCTGTGGTCATGGCAGCAAGGTGCACTGCTCCAGCCTCCTGAGCACGGCCTCAATTCTCGTTGAAAATGCTGGAGCTTGTAGCCAAGGAGCAGGGAAGAGACAACAGCAGTGTTTCTGTGTAAGAATGTTTCTGTTTCAGACAGAAGCTTGTAAAAATGCAAGGGCATCGTTATTAATAGAACATTTCTTTTTGCAGGGCACCTTCATTAGGCTATGAGGTGCTTTGACACGGCCAGCTGTAACCATCAGGCTGCACGGTGTGTTTCAGAGCTGCTCAGTTTTTGTGCCTTCCTTGTGCGTTGGGACTCCTGGGGCTCCTCTGGGAAGCTGTTTGGGGCTTATCTGAGAAGCTGGTCGGTACTTAAGAGATGACGCCAAGAGGACAGTGACCCACATGCCTGCGAGTCCCGGGTGGCTTCGGTGTGAAGGGCACCGGCTGTGGATTGCTTTAGTCTCCAGGGGAAGGACACAGCTTCAAAGGGAACAAAATGCAGTAAATTCCTCCCCGCTATTGCCGCCTTCTGCTGGTCTCTGGCACCGCTGGACAGATGCAAGGCCAGGATCCAGCTGCACGCAGCCTGGTGGCTGTGGTGGGGTTCTCACCGGGGACTAGAAGCTGCTGGCTGGCCCGGTCTGGGCTGCGAACACGTCCTGAGCTGGGGCAGCCTTTATCGTGTGACAAAGCACGGCAAGAGCCTGGCAAGGGGATGCTGCCCTGCAGGTGCTCCTCCATCCCACCCCGTGGCAGTGCATGCTTTGGGACAAGTGCTGGTGGGTTTGGGGATGATGCAGGGTGATGGCTGGGGTCTTCCCTTGCAGTGGGTGGCTGGCTTTGAGCTGGTTCCTCCGATTTCTCTCTTTGGGAAAAAGAAACCCAGGCAGCTTGGCAGGAGCCATGGGACATTGGGTGGGGGGTGGGAGGGACCGGGGGCACTGGCTTTGCTGCGTTTGGGGGGTTTTGGTTTCACGGCTTTGCCCGGGCTGCAGTGGTGGCAGAGGCAGCAGCTGGAGCAGTTGGAGGGCTGCGGTGTGCAGGCTGACAAATGTACATCATTAGCTGGGACAAGTTAATGGTTACTGGAGCACGTGGGTTTTAGAGCTGGAACAAGTTAACAGCAACTCAGGCAGATGCATTAAGAGCTTACGCGTATTACAGCTCAACTATGTTAACAGAAAACATGTGCCCGAGCAAGGGGCTTTGCCTGAGAGCACCAGAGGGTACGGCTGTGTGTCTGTCCCCCTCTCTGCATGGTCCCCGTGGGGCCCTGGTCCCGCACCCACCGCCGTGCTGCGTCACGTGTGGCGGGGTTTGTCTGCATCCCTCCAGGGAGGCAGGCGGGGAGGAGAAGCTGAGCCATGGTAGCCTTTAGGGGGACCTTCCTCAGGTCTTGGCTTCATGTCACGAGAAGCCTGGGAAGTTGGCTGAGGCCACCATGGGCACATTTCAGGTCCAGATGCCCGCAGAAGAGCCTGCTGCAGGGTGCGGGCTGTGCGGCTGTGGACGTGTGGTGAGGAGCGCCGAGGGCACCCCGGCCGCCCCGCTCTGGGCCTCGCACACAACCAGGCCGTGTCCCTGCCCCTCGCAGCGCTGCGTGCTGGTGGTTCTCCGTGCTGTGCTGTCCTCCACGCCGGGGCCGGCTGTGCCTCCGAGACAGCACAGTCACAGAGCTTGGAAAGAGTTTTGAGATTGCAGCTGTCGCAATCGTGAAATAACTGAGAGACACGAGGAAGCCTTTGATGCTGCCTCCTGCAGCTCCCTGCTCGGGACGATGGGGTTGCGGTCATTTAGAAGAGTGTTTCCTCATGATCTGAAGTATTTTGATAACTGCGTGAAAACTATAATCGTGGGGGTGTAACAATGACCCACACAGCCCATGGTTTGCTGCCAGCTCCTACTGGGCTGTCATAAACAGGATCTGCCCACAGCAGAACGACAGCCAGTGGCTTATCTACTCCACAAGCACTTGCAGAGCTCTCCCAAAAGGTAAAGGGTCTTTGGCTCGTGTCTTTATTCAAAAAACAAACAAAACAAAAACAAAGGAAGAACTTGTGTGAGTTGGTGGACGAGTGAGGGGAGCAGCAGGGAGATCTCAGTCCTGGGCTTTACCTGCACCACAGCCCTTTGCTGGTGGTGTCTGTCACCCAGGCAGAAGAAGAGGAGCTGGAGGTGTCCCCTGCCTTACATTGCAGAGGCAGAGTGGCATGTTGAATCTGATGGAATAAGATGGAATATGTTGATGTTCCCTACTGTTAAATGTTTATTTTAAGGAGACCTAAGAGTGTTACTTGTTAGTAACGTAATAACCTCCCCCCTTCACCCACTCTGGCCAGCAAAAGCTGTTCTGAGCCTTTCTACAGATGCCCTGACTGAGGCCTGGGAGCTGCTCCAGCCAGGATGGGCTTCCCTTTGAATCCATCAGCCTGCACTCCTGTGCTTGGCAGCTTTATATCAAAAGCTTGTCCTGGAGTTGTTCCTGCCTGGTTTCAGTCTAAAACTTTAAAAAAAAAAAAATTGGAAAGTTTTCTCCAGATCTTTGCAGCTCATTTGTATAAATACGGAGGGAAACGTTTTATTTACAAAAAAAAAAAAAAAAAAGTCCCAATTTCTGCTTTGTAGTTTACTGCTCCATAAGCAGGCAGGTTTGCAGCAGAGTGCAGGGTGGATTTTACAGTGTTGGAGGGAGCTTGGAGGAAAGAGTAGGAAGACACTTGTGTAGACTCTGTTCAGGAAATGATAAATACTTCTGGTTGGGTTCTTGTTTCAGTAAAGCCATTCAAAAGAAACAATACAAGCAGTAATGATTAAGCAAGAAAAAAACACATTCCTTATAATTACAGCCCACAGTGCAACACCAGCCGTTAGCAAACACATCATTTTCTTCACTGCAGTGTTAACGAGTCCAAAGCACAACCTGGACATTGCCTCCGATCTGACTCCCATGTGCCCAGGTTTCAAGCTAAATGAGTTTATGTTCCTGCTAATTGGCTCAGGGCAGATGTGGAAGCGATGCACAGGCTGCGGCGATGCTTCGCTCCCCGGGGAGCTGACTCAAGCGTGCTTGGCTTGGGCTTAGCCCCATAACGAAGAGCAGCTCCGCTCAGCGATGCGTGGAGCTGCAAAGAGTGCTGCCAGTGGGTTAACGTGCTGAGCCCTGGCAGCTTTCAGTGCCTACAGAGATGCCGAAGAACATGTGGGGAGGACATGTATCGGTGATTATTGGTGGCAGCAAAGTTGTGTCCCTGGTTGTCATAGGACAGCCCAGCACAGGGACTGATCTGTTGATGCTTTCAGGTTTTTAAAGTGCTGTAGGGTCTGAGATCTCACATCTCTAATCATTTTTATGTCAGAGCTGCGGTGTGTGAATGTCATTCTTGTGGTTTCTTAACACAGGCTTAGTTCAGAGTCTCAGAGAAGTTTATAGCCAAGCTGCATATTTTAAGACCAGAGGAAATAATCAGATCTCCAAGTTTCTTCCACAGCACAGATGCTGTACATATGCGTTGATGGTACCTTGTGTTGGACTGTCTCCACAAGAGATATTGCCACTTTCCTTGTTAGCTTGTTCCTGTGGTTAGTCACCTACAGTGTTAAAAGCATGGTCCTTATTTTTCAGTTGAATTTGTCTGGCTTTGACTCACAAATGTTGGTTCCCATTATGTGTTTCTGTTCTAGATTAAAGAGTCCCTGGTGCCTGATGGATTATTTCCTTAAAGGACCAGGAAATCAAGTCATTGCTTTATCTTTTTAACCTGACAAACAAACTGAATTGTACAACTCTTTCACTGGAAAAATCTCTCTATCCCTTAGAATGGTTTTGCAGCTGTTCTCTTCGTCATCTTCAGATTTTGAAGCAACTTTAATAGAGGTGTTTGGACTAGAAATGGGAAAATATCAGCCTTCAGTCTCCATAGAAAAGATGCGTGGCCTTGCCTACACCTTTCCCATACACCTCGTTACCCCTTTCCTGTACAAAACAGGCCTGGCACCGTGTGAATTGCTGACGAGTTCCTTCCACTTCCTAACATCTTTGCTGAGTTTGTGCCCTGAAGTGTTTAGGTGGCCCTACATGCGGGAGAGCCTGGACTTCTTGGGAAGGGCTCCAGGCAGCGCGCTCTCTGCTTCTGGCGTGTGGTGGCAATCATGCTTTCCTGGTGGTGGAAGGAGAGGGGAGCTGCTGACCGTGCGGTGGTTTAATGATGGCCAGGTTTGGCCCAGAGAGGAGAAGCTGTGTGTGACCTCATGCACACAAACCCCATGCAAAGCCTCAACAGAGCCTTCAGATCATTTTCACTCCAGACAGCCAAGCTCTTCTTTTTTTGTGAGCTAATGCATAATAGCTCAGCTCCAGGCCTGACAGCCTTATCCAGCTGTTGCTTAGGCAGGGCTGAGGGGAGGGTGGGTGTCATGGAGGGACATCTTTCTGCGGTCAGGAGGGACGTCTTCTGATGTAGGGCCAAGTTTTAACCCAGCAAAGCCTCAGAGCAATGCATGTGTTGGGATGAGGGAAAGGCTGGGTACCCGCTGTGGTGACTTGTCACCAGAGGAGTTACTCCTGGGACACCCTGCCCTGCAGAGCCCACGTGAGTAGTGGCAGCCCTTCAGCAGCTATGGGGCCAGGAAGCTTTTTGTGGAAGAGCTGGAGGCATGCATGGGGGCTGCTGGAAGTGAAATGGAGAACTAATTGCTCCTTGCCAGGGGTGCAGCTCGGTGGGGGTCACCCATGGGGGCCATCCAGAGCAGACATTTGTGCCCCCAGAGGATCTGGGATCAAAGGGAGCTCTGCCCGCCTGGTAACACTCTCACAGCCAGTTCCCCTGTGGCAGTTTTACATTTTCCCTGTGGGAACAGCACTCTGAATTTCTTGAGCTTGTTTGGGCGTAAAATCTGAATTAGGCACTGAGGGTAAGTTTGGAGACTTGGAGTCTGTTCCTGGCTCAGTCACTGTGACGTCCTTGGGTGAGCTCAGATCTCATTGCTAGAGGAGACCTCACTTTCCATGTGTATTAAATTTGGGTCATCTGTGAAACGAGCTTACCAAGCCCCGTTAAGCTTATTGCAAATTATGCACAAGTGTCTGTTGGCTGACTGTGCTGTTGGCCGTGCTTGCACAGGGGCTGCGTTAGGCACACGCAGCTGGGAGCAAGCCCAGTGCCAGCGAGCGGTGCCGTGTGGCCAGTGCTCACCAGTGCCCAGGACACAGCCAGCTGTCCCCCTGTGTCCCTGGAAGGGCCTGCACTGGGATGTTCCTCTCCCCCAGGAGGCACCAGCTCTGTGTTGTGGCCAGGAGCAGCATGGGGAAGGTTTGGGGTGTCCTACTGCAGCATGCCCCACCGTAGGGTGACGAAGGGCCTGACACAAGAGGAGAGCTGGCAAGGAGCTGGGGCAGAGCCAAGCATCCTTCCCGTGAGTTGTTCCCCAAAAACACTTGGTCAGGGAGAGCAGAGGGCTCTGTCTCTGCCCCATTTGCCTTGCACCCTGCGGTGCTGGATGAGAGAAGGGAGCCCCAAAGGCTCCTCCTGGGCACAACCTCCCTGCTTCCCGCAGCCCTCTCTCCTCAGGGCCCATCTGGTGAAGTCTGTCACAGGCTCTGCCCTGCATCCAGCCCGCTCTGGTCAGCAGCCAAGGGCCCAGCAGTGTCCCTGCTGCTCTTTTCCCTCCCCCAGGGACAGGGGGGCGCAGGCTTTGATGTGCGGGCACAGGGCTGGGGACAGGCTGTGTGTGCTCATGAGAGCCTGGCCGGGCTCCAGCTGCCTTTGAAGTGCTCCAGTGATCAGGATGAAAGGGAGGGGAGTCCTTCCCCAAACCATCTGGCTCTAATTGCAGGTAGAAATGCCTCTCCGCATCCCCCGTGGGGAGGGGCACGCCGCGCTCTTCGTTAATCTCGCCGCTCTCGTCTGGGCTGGTGCAGAGGGCGAGAGCTTGGGAACAAAAGGGGGTTTCAGCCGGGCAGCCAGAAATAGACGCTGCTGGCAGAGATGTTGGGGCTTCGGGCACCTCTGTGCCCCGTGTGGAGCCACAGGGCCCCAGGGGCCTTCCTAGAGACACCCGTGCCACGGGGGGGCTTTGCCAGTTGTTCCCATCTCCAGTTTCCATCCCTCTGCCTCACACCCTTCTGCACCAGCATGGAGGTGAGGGACGTGGGGACACGAGGCCAGCCCAGCCATTCGCAGCCAAGGGTCCCTGCCATCTCCTGCCAGCTCCCCCCTTTGCTCGGCAGCCACCACCTTCAGGAGGTGCCTGTGCAGGCGAGGGACCCATCCTCACAGCCTCTTCCCTCTGCAGGTCTCTGCCTCGTCTGACCCCCGTGCTGCTGGGGACGAGGAGCTGCCACCGTCGGGCAAGACACGGGGCCTGCGGCGGAGCGGGCAGGCGGGCCCACGGCGGCACCGACGTCGTGGAGCTGCTCAGCAGGTGGCGAGGAGCCCGGCAGTGCCCCAGCCTGGTGGTGCCGGCCGGGAGGAGAGCCTGCCCTTCGTGCTGGACCTGCAGAGCTTGCCCGGGCTGGCCAACGTCGACCTGAGTGCCCAGAACCCCAACATCCAGGTGGGGAGCAGGGCTGGGCGGGATGGGTTGGGCTCCACAGCCTGATTGGAGTCCCTGACAGGAAAACTTCTGAAAGCAGGGTCTGTTTCTGTGGCTCCGCTGTTTGGGTGACCACCAGACCCCTGGCCAGCCTGCTGAGCTGCCACAAGCAGCACCTCCCGCTTTGCCCCTGCTCAGCCCCTCCAGATGAGATGACCTCTCGTGCTGGTGTTCGTGGAGTCAGCACACAGGTGGTCCCTGTGCCAGGGGACATCCTGTGGCCAGGGTCGTTGTCTCACTGCTCTGCCTTGTGTCTGGCTTCCAGGTGACCATTGAAGTAGTGGACGATCCTCAGGCTGAGATGGAGATGGACTTGTTGAAGGAGACGAGCAATGACTGGTCCTTGACATCGTCTGAGTGGCTGTCCCACAAGGACCTCTTCTGGCCTCTTTTCTGGGAATACACTGACCCCACTGAGGAAGAAGAGGAGGAGGAGGAAGAGGAGGAAGAGGATGACAATCTGGATGTAGGGGACAGGGAGGAGGAGGAGGAAGAGGAAGAGGAGGAAGAAGAGGAGGAGGAGGAGGAGGAAGATTACACAGCAGCAGACTATGAGGAGGAGGAGTCCATGCTCAGTGGAGTAGGAGGTGACTGGGACCAGCGGTGGGCTAGGCAGAAGAACTGGATCTTTAAGGAAAAATATAATTATGGTGAGTCCTCTCAAGCATGAGCAGCAGCACCTGGCCTGCAAACCATTGCTGTCCTCCCCTGCCTGGCCTGACTGCAGCCCTATCTCACTGTAGGATGGGCACCCGAGGGCCAGAGCATGCTTGTGCTCAGCTCCTGTTAGAAAATAAGCAGGGACACCGGGGGGGCACGGGCAGCACCTGGCTGGGGTTGCCAGCAGCCTGGCACGCCAGCTTCACAGCGGGAGTTTCCCTTGTGTGTCATCAGACAAAGCGTGGGCTCCCGCAGACACGTTCAGACTAGAAATATGGTGCAAATGTTTAGCTGTGAGTGCTGCTCCCCTTGTAACAGTTCTCTGAGGTGACACCAGAGCCAGAAACCTCTGCTGCAGGCCTGAGCATCTCCCAGAAGTACTGCAGAGGTTAGATGCGGGGGCCAGTGGGTGGGCAGGTCAGGGGAGCACAGCACAGTTCCTGGAGCTTCCCATCCATGAGTGTGTAAGCAGACAGCTTTTGCTGGCAGCATTGTGGTTGTGGGGTCAGGCAGGTCCGGTGAGGACGGGGATGGGCAGTGATGCCCAGATAGGTCACTACAACCATGAGCAAGGCTGTGAGAATGAGAGCCTTTGCCTGGGGGCTGCCAGCAAGGGCAGGGTTGGCCCTTGGCACCATGTAGCCAGACACCTCTGGGTAGCCCTGTGTCCCCATAAATTGCATCTCAGGGGCAGGACAGAGCCGAGGGATGTCTGGGGTGGCTGCTGGCTCCCCTCCTGCTGAGACTTCCTGCAAGGTTCATCCCTCTCTGCCTGTCCCATGCCATGTGCAGACTATGAAGATGAGGAGGAATGGAGCCCGTGGTCCCCTTGCAGCGTCACCTGTGGCAGCGGCAACCAGAAGAGGACCCGGTCCTGTGGCTATGCCTGCACAGCAACAGAGTCAAGAACCTGTGACCTGCCACGCTGCCCTGGTGAGCCCCCAGCCATCCCGGTGCTCGAGCACCCTTGGGGCACTGTCCCATCCCAGTGTGGGTTTGTTCCCCTGCTGCAGCTGGGTTTGGGGCACCATGGGGAGGGAGAGAGGCACAGGGAGCAGGCTGTGCCCAGGGCAGGGACATTCATGGCAAACAGGTCAGTGAGAGGACCCTTGTTCCCAAAAATGGGAACAGGCCCAGATTTCAAGTGCCAAGTCCATCTTCTCCAGGGTGTTGCTCATGGTTCAAGAGCTAGTTGCGTTGGATGTGCTCTGGGCTAACGAATGTGGGTGCTTGTTTCTATGAAGAAGCTCTGGTGGGGCCTCATGGCTCCACAGGCAGTTGTGTGAAGCCCAGGGATGGTGGAGCTGGAGCCCAGCTCCACATGGAGCTCCTTGCACCTCTCTCACAGGGAGTCTGAAATCCAGTCCCAAAGCTTACAGAAAGCCAGCTCCATCCACTGGGATTTGTATAAGCCCTGGGCCTGGGCCCTCTTGGCCCAGTCTGTCCTGCATGTCTTCCTCATGGACCCTCCTCGCAGACACAGGGCCTTGTCACCAAAGCAGTGGAGGGAGAGGTGCACTTTGGAAGGAAACCTAAGATTCAGCCCATCTCTTTTCATTTCTTCGTGTCTGTCTTCTTTTCTTTGTTTCTTTGCTTGTCTTTGTTTTCTTCTTTTCTGGTCTTTCGTTTCTGTGCGGGTAGGGGAGGGGGGGGAGTGCGGGGGGGGAGGGCGGGAGGGGGGGGGGGGGGGGGGGGGGGGGGGGGGGGAGGGGTGTTTTCGTGTCTTTCGTGCGGGGAGGGGAGGGAGTTCTTTTCGGGTGGGGGGGGGGGAGGGGGGTTTCTTTGGTGTCGTTGGAGGGAGGGTCGGTGCGGGTGTTTGGGGGCGGGGAGTTTTGGGGTGGCGGTTGTGGCGGGAAGGGAAGGGAAGGGCAGGACCTTTCCTTTCTCCTTTCCTTCCGTTCCTTTCCTTTCCTTTCCTTCTTTCCTTTCCTTTCCTTTCCTTTCCTTTCCTTTCCTTTCCTTTCCTTCCTTTCCTTTCCTTTCCTTTCCTTTCCTTTCCTTTCCTTTCCTTTCCTTTCCTTTCCTTTCCTTTTCCTTTTTCTTTTTTTCTTTTTATTTCCCTCTGAAGGAGCAGAGGGAGAAATGGTCTTCCCCACAGAGGAGACTCCTTTCAGAAGTGACAACACCACGGAGCTGTTCAACTCGGGTAAGCCCCTCACACTGGGGCCTGGGTGCTCATTGCAAAATCGTGGGGAGATGCAGATGGTGGGGGAGGGCAGTGCCAAGGGCTCCTGGGTCCAGGTCCAAACCTCAGTCCTGTCACTGCTGTGTGCAGGCTGGTGCTGGAAACCAGCAATGCTGGGATGCCCAGTGGCTCCCACAGCCTGCTAGGATGTGGTGGACACGGTCTTACTCCATGGCACACTGGCTGAAGCCAGCCTGAGGCTCACACTCCTGCAGCTGCCCCATGGTGGGACGCTGCTGTCCTTCCCCTCCTAGGGAGCTTGGTGGCTTTGCCAAGAGTTTGAGGGTTCTCCTGGTGGGACTGGCGAGCGGTGGTGGGGCAAAGAGGCATGCTCGTGCCCTCACCCTCTCACTGCCTCTCCCCCAGACGTGGACAGCTGCGAGAAGTGGCTGAACTGCAAGAGCGACTTCCTCACCAAGTACCTCAGCAAGGTGCTGACAGACCTGCCCAGCTGCCCCTGCTCCTACCCGCTGGAGGCCGTTTACAGCGCCGTCAACCTGCGGGATGAGAGGCAGGGAAAGAGCTTCCGCTGGCGGGACGCCAGCGGCCCCAAGGAGCGCCTGGACATCTACAAGCCGACGGCGCGCTTCTGCCTGCGCTCCATGCTCTCGCTGGACAGCACGACGCTGGCGGCCCAGCACTGCTGCTATGACGAGCACACCCGCCTCATCACCCGGGGCAAGGGTGCTGGCGTCCCCAACCTCATCAGCACTGAGTTCTCCCCAGAGCTGCACTACAAGGTGGACATGCTGCCCTGGATCCTCTGCAAGGGCGACTGGAGCCGGTACCATGCCGTGCGGCCGCCCAACAATGGGCAGCGGTGTGCCGACAACCCGGCCGAGGAGGAGTACCTCTCCCAGCTGCAGGAGGCCAAGGAGTACTAGCTGCAGCCATGATGGGAGGAGACACGAGGCCACGGGGCCACCGTGCACCTGGCTGCTGACAGGTCCTGCCCCAGTCCATGCTGTGAGGGCTGGAACCATCACTCGTGCATCCTTTCTGAGCCCCAGTCCTGCTGGCAGGCTCTTTGTGGGGCTGCGAGGAGCACAAGGGTCTCGTCTCAATTTGTGAAGGCACAGGAGTGTCACTGTGTCACCTCTGCTGTGCCACCTGGGGCAGGTCCCCCTCTGCTACTCACCTGTGGGCAGTGCAGAGCTGAGGTGCAGGGGGCAGGAGGTGGTGGCCAGTGTCAGGGGAAAAGGGCCTGCTTGCGAGCAGAGCTTGGGAGTATGCAAGGCAAAAGGATGGCTGTGTGGGCTCCCGTGGCAAGATCACCTTGCCTCTGTGGTTTTAGCTGTCAAAGAGAGCACTCTGTGCCAGATCTTGAATGAAGGTGGACCTCAGAAGGAGATCATCATGGGGAAATGCCACAGGGCTGCACTGAACCCCCTCAGAGCTCAGGGGAGCAGGGTGGCAACACTGGTACAAGGCCCATCACCAGCCCTGCTCTGCATCTCGGCTCCCCAGTGGGTTTCCATGCTTGGGAGTGACTGTAACATGGCCCAGCAGAAAGTCCTACATTTCCCTCCCACAGCAGCCAAGCCATTGCTGGAGAGGAGCAAAAATCACTGAGCCAAGTTCCTCATGGCACATGGGGACAAGTCACCACTGGGAGCACCCAGCATTGTCCCCTTTCTAGTCTGCTGCTCACCTCTCATCCTTCTCCATGCTGTTTGCCCAAATCCTCCACAAGAGGCAGCCCAGAGAAAGCAAGTCCTGGTCACATCCTGCTGCTCTCCAGGCTTGCCAGGCAAGCAAACGTGGCTCCAAATGAGCAAGGAACACAATGGTTCATAATATCAATACACGGTGTCTACAGATTGTGACACTCTCCACTGACACTTTGGTGTTGCCTGTTTTTTTCTTCCAGCTTTTCATAGATTCTTGGCAGTTTCTCCTATTCTATTTTGGGGTGCTTTCAAGCTCCCAAACTTCCCACAGAGAAACAGAATTGAGCACTTTTATCTCTGGACATTCAGTAGTTGAACATGGCTGAAGCTGTTCGCTGCTTTCATTTAGCAAGCTTTATGAATCAGAGGAAATAAAAGAGTAAGTCAAGCAACTGAATGGAGTCATTTCTAAACTAGAAGTTTCAACAAAGGCAGTTGTTTATTCCATGCCTTTTGTGCAGAACACTGTTAGACCAAAAAGTGTCTGTGTCAGTTCAGATGGCCTTGGGTTGACTGCCCTGTCCTAATTCTGTTCTTATTTCAGTAGCCTTCTCCAGCACGAGAGAGCATCCATAGTCAGAGAGCTCCTTGGGCAGTCTTTTTAGGACTATCTTATATAAATTAAGTATCTATTGATCCTTTCGTTTTGGTCACTAGTAGAATACTGCATCCATGGTCATCAGTACATAGGACTTCATTATTGGCAGAACAAAAGTATTAATGAAGTTACTGCTGAGTTACTCTTGTTTAGCTATTATTCCATACTCGTAGCCACCAAACCTGGTTATGGGTACTATCAAAACATAATCAGGTACAGCCCCTTTTCCAAAATGCATGCAATCAAAAATGACAAGTTATTATGTAAAAAACAAGAAGGAAGATTAAAACCAAATGGGCATGAATGGTGACCCAGACCCTGGTAAATTTTCATTACCATTACATTCTCCCTATAAAAAGTGGTCATTAGCTCCCTAGCTTCTTATAAAGAGTTCACGAGGAGGTGGGCAAGAGGGGTTGGCAGTGATAATGGCAGGTGGGTTCTGGGAGCCTGGGACTTGCAAGGAGGCTCACCAGCAGACACTGGGGTGTTTGTACTGGAAGCAAACAAATCAAGTGGCTGAGGCTGTGGAAGGACGAGCTTGTTGCCTTCTGTCATCCAGCAGAGCATCTCCTCCCATACCGCAGATCACCACAAACATCAGAGGACTCTCAGAGAAGTTTATTTACCACCAGAGCCCTTTGTAAAACAACCACCTGTATGTTCCTAGTGACCAGTACTAGACCCACACATGGAAGCAGTGCCTGTGCAAACAATCTTTCTTGAAAGAGGCTTTCAGTAGCTCAGCCAATTTGTTAGACTGGCTGGTCGCTGAGGAAGTGCTCTTATAATAAGGACTGTTACCCAGGAATTGCATCCTCCCCCTTTTAATACTGGGAACATCAACCAGTCTAACCCCCCAAAAATGAACCTATAATTTCTGTAATAAATGTAGTTCCTGTCCAAGGGCAAGTAGAAACATTTCTTGCGTTAAGTCCCCACTAAAATCTGAAAGCCAAGTGGCTATTCTGCCTGGCTGCCCTTATGGTCTGGAAGATATAGACATGACCTGGAGCATGAGAAACAAGAAGCAGCGTTGTTCCTCACACAAGCACCTTACACAGCAGGAGGCTTTGCAGAGCACCATAAGAAAAGTAGACATTAAGTAAGCATTTATTTTTATATGCCATCAAAGATTCTGTCCAGCTCATTGCTATTTAAATAATGAATCTCTTAACTTCCCTTCCCTAAATTTATTGTGTTTTTAATATAATATATATATAATTTTTTAATTTCTACAAAATTTGATAGAGAGTTCTTTATTCTGACTGCAATAAAGCACTTTATACATGAATGTGTTGCTGATGTCATTCAGTTAGGACTGAAGTTTATGTTGCCAGAACATTTTGTTTTGTTTGAGCGTGACGACACTTCACTGAGCGCTGCATGCTGTGGGTCCCTGGCCACAGCTCTATTGCAAGGAACCTGGTGACTTTGCTTCCTTAACTTGAATTTGGTGGTGTCAGGCACACTTGGAAGAGCAGAGATGCGTGCAGCCTCTTCTGAATGTTGCAGACAGCGATTTCCAGCTGATCACAAATGCTCGAAGGAATCTGATTTTCCTGACCTGATGGCATTCTGATGCTCCCATTTCCAAGAAGAAGAAGGCATGGCAGCAGAGGGATGCAAAGCAGGACACTTTCAAACGCTTTCATAACTGTGATTTAAGTCCCAACTCTTGAACTGTGAGGTGTTACAAAAAGTTCAGAGCTCGTGTTTTTTACAAGCTTTGTCCATCCCCAGGGTGTTATATTATGTGGTTCCTTTGTATACGCTATTTATTGTCTGTGACAATTGTGGCAGCTGGAGAACAGGGGTGAGTGATGCTGTGGACGGGGACCTTGTGTATGTGCATGAACATGTGCGTAACTGAATGTAGAGGCTTTGTCCATCCAGCTGTTCCCCTACCCCCAAACAAACAAACAAACAAACACCAACCCAATGTATTATAGACATCCTTTGCAAATAAAGATTGCTGTTGCCAGTTTGGTCTGTGATGCTTGGAAACAACAGGGCTTTCAACTTGGCAGCCACAGACAGCCCCACATACATAAGCATGCAGGTCTGGTGCAAAACATCCATGTTTCATTCAAAGGGATTTAAGCATTTCACCTTAGGACTGTGCTTCTGCAGCCTCTGGTTTCCCTGTGTTTCTGGGCCATCCCAGACACCATCCTGAGCCTGCCACTGCAGCGACAGGGTGTGTGAAGTTCTGCTCAGAGGGATGGAAACCCCCCGTGAGGTTATCAGAGTCTGCTGAGAAGTAAACGCACCACCTGTGCCTCAGCCCTGATGCCAGGTTTTATTCTGTGCTCAGACCTTACACAAACACGCTGCTGAAAACATGAAAACAGGTGTTGAGCATGAGAGCAGATGAAAAAGGAAAAAAAAAAAAAAAAAAAAAAAAAAAAAAAAAAAAAAAAAAAGCATCACCCCAGCTGGAAAACTGATTTGGCAAACAACCTCCACAGTCAGAAGCTAATGATAGCAGAGGGATTAGCAAAGCTTCCCAGGGATCACAGCTTTTTGTGGCCGTTAATTTGCTGCATAAATTGTGACCACTTCCAAGCTCTTGCTATTTCCAGCTGTTTCCTCTCCTTTGCTCTTGCTCCTTTTGCTGTGTGCTGGCTGCACATCTGACAAGGTTTATCTGGGACTCCAGCACACGGCTCTGTTCCACAGCTGCCTGGCGCCTTCACTGGCCCCTGCTAGGGAGCAGCAGCTGTCTCCTCTAGAAGAAGGCTGCTCCGTCATGGTGAGTCCCCTTCTGGTTTTTTGAAGCACCAAAACTTGCTTGGAGCCCAATCTGGGGGCAGTGGGCTGAGCTCAGCTCTGCAGGACAAGGTCCCTGCAGCGCTGGGTGCTGAGCCCTGTGGTACAGAGATCCCATGGGGCAAGGATGTGGAAATAAGAACTGCCACCACAGTTCTGCAGGTGAGGGCAAGAGGCACCAGAGCTGCAGGTGCCACCCAAGAGCAGAGCAAGTCTGTGGCAAAGTCTCAAGCTGCATCTTTGCTCGCTGCTTTACACACAAGACTTCTTGATGGTTTGAACTGACTTGTTCTGGGTTGCCAGCCTGGTGTAGAGCTTCAGGTGGCTCGGCTGTGCCACCTCCTGTGCAGCTGACACGCAGCTGAGCAGAGCAGGCCTCTGCTAATGTCTGGCCTTAGGCTAGAAAACAGCAACACATGTTTGTGACAGTCCTTGGGCCTAAACTGAAAACTGTAGCGTGTTTCGTGTTTTTGTTTTGTTTTGTTTTTTTTTAAAAAAAAGGAAAGAAATTCCATTGGCTGTATCTTTTATTTTTTTTAGCTGTTGCCTTGCTGGCCATGGCACAAACACTGGTCTAAGCATCTTGCATCACGACCTGGTGCCTTGGGCTTTGCTCTGTCCCTAAGCCCAGAGGTGGGCCCTGCTCGGTGCCCAGCCCGGTGCTGCCTCTGCTCCACCTGCACCAACACCACACCGGGAGGCACTGAGCTGCAGCCTTGGGGATGTGAAACCAGGCCACGGTAACCCTGCCAAATGTGTCCACGGGCTGGGCTGTGCTCCTTCTCTTCCCACAGAGGATGGTCCCACACATTCACAGTTGGGAAAGGAATTTCTCACCCTCCTTCCCCTGCCTGCTGTGGCCAGCTGCCCCTTGGAAATGCCAGAGACGAGCCCAGCTGGTGAGGCCCATCCCCTGCTTTGTTCCAGGTCCCTGAAAGCATGTCAGCTATTCTTCTCACCCCGCATGGGGGCTTGGCCATAGGGACCACAGCCCTGCCTCGCCAGGCCCCACACAGACCCACAGCCTGCATCCCCCTGCCGCAGTGGGCTCGCAGGCTTGTCCTGCAGGGGCTTGCCCTGGCAGAGCCACCACAGGTTTCTGAAGTGCCAGGAGAAAGTCCTCCCCCTGCCATCACAACCTTTGCACCTTGGGTGGAGGACCACAGAAAAAGGATTTAGACGGGCCCACCAGAAATCATGTACATGGGGACCTGAGCAAATCATGCCTCACCAACAGGTCTCGCTCTCTCCTGATCTTAAAGCGCTGCGGTGACGGAGGTGCCATCGTATCCCTCAGCTTTACTGGTCTTGCAGGGAGACATATTTTCCTAGCAGCCAACCGAAGTCTTTCCTGCTTTATTTTAAGCCTACTGTATCTTATCTGCAATGGTCACAGAGAGCACATTATTTCCTTATTTGCTCCCACTTCTCACGTATTTGCAGAATTTTATCACTGCTCTCCTTATTTCCCCACTCCCTATCCCCCCTGCCCCATCTTCTCATCTCTAGACTAAACAAATGCAAATCTGTCAGGCTTTCCCTAGAAGATGTGCCTCTGGACCTCAGATCATTCTCATTGCCAACAGTGAAGTTTCTCCGGGTAAGTCACAGCTTTCCTGAAGTGCTGAGCTCCAACCAGACCAGATACTCTACCAAAGACAGGAATTAGGATACAAGCTGTGCTTGATTTAGAAGATACAGGTGTGCTGGTTGTTAGTTTTTACCCTAAGTCTTCTAGGGTAAACTGCATCAGGCCTTGTCATGCTGGAAACATCCAACTACTTTTAACTTGCTGCCACTGTTTTGTTTTTGTTTGGTTTTTAACTTCTGTTCTTATAACACTGGTAGTGAAGTAGGTTTGGGATGATGTTTCAAAGCGGTCTCAGTAGCAACCTAAACTAGGGGATTTCATGCGCTTTGATTTGTGGCTTGACTTTCCCTTAGAAGTTTCACAAAGACAAACAATTAAAACACACCAGCGAGGGACAAATGGGACATAACATAGGTCCACCTAAACCAGCGGATGCTTACGGTAGTCAACAGTTGGTAACTAGAAAGAATGAGTAAAGAAAAGGACAAGCATATTGCTACTTCCCTGAAATGCTTTCCTTGTTGCAAGCAGCTGGTGGCCAAAAGATGTCTTGAGCCAAATGCAGTGGTCATTTTTGCTTAATAGACCTTAGTTGTTTTTTAATTTCATGAATTTGTCCACCCTTGTTCTGAATCCCCATAAACTTTTAATGGCACCCTATCACCAGCTGTTAGAAATTCAGAGACCAACTCCCCTTGGTTGGGACCCCACATCTTTTTCTTTGATTCATAAGGCTATGCATTACTCATCATCTCCATGTGCCTCAGAACTGTGTAGCCATTTAGCATTCACCTCTGACCTCTTATCACTGAAAAATTCACTGTTTACTTCTGATATCTGTTTTTGTGTGTGTGTTTTTTAACAAAACAATTCTGTTTTATTGAATTCTCATGACTTTCCCTCTTAGTCCACATCATTTTAGATTCTTGAGGAGCCTCTGGGCACGGGAACATGAACTTGCTTTTCTTCCTCATTGTACAGAGTCATCCCTCCCCCAGATAGTTGAGGGACTGCAAACTGTGTCTCGACCTCCTGGCACTTCCAAGTAAAGCAAAGGTCTAGGGTGTCTCATTAGCATCTGTATAGCCACACCAGATGTTAGCTTTAGGTGAACAAGCAGGATGCTTTGCTGAGACTGCAGAGTTTCAGCCACGTGCAGTAAAGCAAGGCTCAGATCACCTTCACCAAGTGAACAGCAGGAGTACCGTAAGGCATTACAGCTGCTGTGCTTCCTTACAAAGTTAGTGTATCCTGATTCACTGTGCCTCAGGCTAAGTGCTAGCTCGTAGCCTGCTGTTTGCGCACGTGCTTTCCTTCCCCCGTGGTTTAATCCCATACGTTGTGTTGAGAACAGCAGCCAAGGCATGGCTACGCATCCTGTGGGGATGGCAGTTGCCAGCCGGAGGGGCAGGGAGCCAGCTGGTGCAGCACCAGCACAACCCTGGGTTGTTGGTTTTGCTGGAGGAGCCCTCAGCCAGCCTCTGAGCAAACCCCGAGCCCGTGAGCCCCATGCCTGCGAGCTGCAGGCTGAGGCCAAAGCGTGTCCTATTAGAGTAGCAGCAGGACATCCAAAGCAAGCCCTGTTTGTGATGAAAGGAAGGCAATTAAAATTCCACTTCAGCTGCCTTCCTGTCCCACTTCCTAACCTTCCAGCAGCAGGTGATTAGTGCAGCCTGCCTTCTGCTGCCCTGCCTCAGCTGCGCCAAGGGGCCCTGCAGCACGGGAACGCTGCTGCCACAGCGTGGCCGGCCGACCAAGCACCGCAAAGGCAGCGGGATTCAGGTAGGCTTGTCTCAAGTTATTTGAGTGTGCTCGTCTTCTCAGTTTTAAATGATTTTGCTCTTAACAAAGCTCTCGTCTTGTCTGTGAGCAGGCTACTGGGCCTGGCTGTTTATTTTCCCATAATTCTGCCCAGGAATTACCAAACGCAGCACATAGGCATGCTGTGCAGTGACATCGGGGTGTGCACACCCCATGTCTGATCCTGAAGCCCACCACATGCATAGAGTATCCTGTGCACAGGAACCCCAGGAAAATATCTCCACCCCTTTCCCAGCCAACCAGCACTTTAAGGAAGATAGCCCTGCAGGACACGTCCAGGAAAACATGACAAAGGGAAGCCCTCCCGTAAGTACAGGTGCTCATGCTTTGTACAACTTCATTTTCTGCCATATAGTCGGATATATTTTCTGTCATATACTGTTTCGTACCACTTTCTTGATGTTCATTAGCACTGTATCACAAATAATCACCACAGAATAGTGGGAGGGAAAAGGCTAGAAATGCTCTCCATGTGCTAAAAGGCAACTCAGACTGTCTGTGTCTGTTTACAAAAACAGATATATTTTTTCCTGCCTTCTGTTTTCCACATTCCTCCTGCTATGTTTTTTCCTGTCTTCTACAGATGAGGATGGATATGTGTTAATGATTTAAAAGAAAAAAAAAATCAAAAAAGCACAGTAATTCTCATGCAGCAACATTACTTCAAGTTTGCTGGTGCTGCTCTGCAGATCACCACTAGCAATAACCATAATATGCAAGAGAAGCTGATGCCTAAAATGTAAAATCCAGCACTTTGGTCACCCTACAGGTTAGGCAGATTTCCACTTCCAAGTGGAACTCACCTCTCCCCTCCCTCTCTTCCCCCAAATAACCAGTTTATGTGCTTTAGAAGATACCTCAGGGGACAGGCTGTACTAGCAGAAGAGAACAAGCTAATGGCTCTTCCTCACCCACAGAGGCAGCAGCTGAAGTGGGGTCAGCCAGAAGTACTGCACCTTGTTTATCTTAGAGGAATAAATCCCACCCCCATTGAGTCTAGTTTGTTTTGGCCTGGAGCTCTTAGAGGTAGCTGACCCTTGCTAGAACCATCTTGTAGGTGAGAGTTTGCCCAGCAGTGGTTGCTGATTTCCTTGGACACTGAGTGACAAAATAATCGTCATTCTTGGGGAGCAGGCTAGTACGAGTGTGTGAAAGGATTGTGTTAGAGAGCGATATGCAAGGGAGGAGAGGGATAGCTTTAACATGATCTTAAATCCCTTCAAAAATGGGAAGGGTTCAAAACATTTACTAGCAGATCAAAAGCAGAGAGAAAGCAAGCAGCTGCTCAAACTAAAAACTGCATCAGGCTCATGCTCTCCGCTCACCCAGAAGTGAGGAGTAAATCACATTGGGATCAACACTCCTCACTGATCAGTGTTTTTCCAGACAGATCCCTCCCTCAGCCTGGCCACCAAACCTTTGAACTTAAGCCGATCTGAACACGCAAGTACCGTGGTGTTTTTTTAAGTTAGGTTTATTTAGCAATAGAAGTATGTACATGTAAGAGAATCCCCTGCAGCACGAGACATGCACAAAGCAGTGAGGGACTGAAAGTGGTGCTGCTCAATGGCCTTCCTCATCACCTGTCATCCCACTCTACCCAGCAGCAGGGCCAAGATTAGAAAGGGAGAGGTGAGAAATGTATCAGTCCACGTGGCAGAGTCTTCAGGGAGAGCCTTTCCAACAACCATTATTAAAACAAGCGGGCGCCATAGCCAAATGTCTGTTTAATGCCCTCGAAGTAGTAGCGCTGCCAGCCTTGCTTTGTTCTTTCTTCCTCGCTGGCAGGAATGCCCTTGCCTTCCAAGCACACCTCCGTCTCACCACCTTTGTCAGTGAAGTTCAAGGTAATTGTTGCGAAGTGCCCTAGGAGGAAGCAAAACAAATCTGTCAGCAGCAGGCAGTACGCTCTCCTCCTCCTCTCACACAGCACCGCTTAAAAAGACTCCCCAGGCTCCTCCCCAGTAGGATCTATTTATGACAGCTGCAGGCCTTCCTTAGAGAGGGAGGAGAGAGCTCTTTTCATAGGGCTCAAAGCAGTTACAGCTTGCTTGGCTGTGGCTGAAGCTGCTGCTTCCTTGTTCCTGATCCCTGACTGCTGCTAACCAGTGGATCACGACTGACCCCACTGTGTGGGATATGATCCAGGGCTAAGGCACCCTGGTTGCTTGCCGGAGTGCTGTGTGAGAAGTGGGGCTGGAATCCTTCAAACACAGGCTCAAGTTGTAATGCCAGAGTCCCTTTTGGACTACTTACCAGCTGGCCAAGATTTAAATCTCCATTTCATAACAAGTTGCTTCTCAGGGACCTGGGAAAGAGAGACAGAGAGCGACATTGAGGAATAGTAGTTTTTGCAAATCCCGAAGTCTAACTGAAAACAACTATAACTGTGTTTGATCTTACGAAGTCCCTCAAGAACACCACAAGCTGATTTTAAGTGGCACTTTCTTTCCACCGCTCCTCTAGGAAGGCAGACCAGGCTAAACCTGAAGCAGGCATGAGCAAGAACATAGGAAAAAGTAATTTTGGAAGCCTTACAGATTCAGACTCCAATAGCAGCCCACAGAATATGGCTGCGAGTTCTGAACACTGTTCACCACGTTCAGGTGCTACCTATCACTGGAAGAAAGTCACCGAGACTGCAATTTCTGATTCAAACACTGAGACAGATTCCCTGTCCACAAGACTTCTTTGGCACAAGGGCTGAAGAGGAAAAGGGCCAGTTGCTATCTTTAATACCTCCCCCACCCTCAATAACTAATTAAAATCACACAAAGACAGGGCAGATGCAG